CCCAGCACCCCCCGACCAAACTCAAATCCACCTGCATCAGAAAACTTGCCAACAGTTGGGTTTACCAAGCCCTTTTTGCGCCAGGGCGCTGCAGGCTCTAAGGACACAGGCAGGGTGACATCCAGTGAGTTCAAGAGCTGGTGGGATGGTGGGGCAGATGGCCAATAGGCACGAAAAGATGCTCATCATTGCTAAGTATTCGAGAAATGCAAATCAAAAGTACAGTGAGGGCCTCCCTGGTGGCGCAGTGGTTGAGAGTCTGCCTGCCGATGCAGGGGACACGGGTTTGAGCCCTGGTCTGGGAGGATCCCACATGCCGTGGAGCAACTGGGCCCGTGAGCCACAACTACTGAGCCTGCGCATCTGGAGCCTGTGCTCTGCAACGAGAGGCCGCGATGGTGAGAGGCCCGCGCACCGCAATGAAGAGTGGCCCCCGCTCGCCGCAACTAGAGAAAGCCCTCGCACAGAAATGAAGACCCAACACAGCCATAAATAAATAAATAAATAAATAAATAAATAAAACTACAGTGAGGTACCACCTCACACTGGTCAGAATGGCCATCATTAAAAAGTCTACAAATGATAAATGCTGGAGAAGGTGTGGAGAAAAGGGAACCCTCCTACACTGTTGGTGGGAATGTAAATCAGTACAGCCACTATGGAGAACAGTATGGAGGTTCCTCAAAAAACTAAACATAGAGTTGCCATATGATCCAGCAATCCCACTTCTGGGCATATACCCAGACAAAACTATAATTCGGAAAGATACATGCACCCCTATGTTCACAGCAGCACTATTTACAATAGCCAAGACATGGAAGCCACCTAAATGTCCATCAACAGATAAATGGATAAAGTAGATGTGGCATATATAAACAATGGAATACTACTTAGCCAGAAAAAGAATGAAATAATGCCATTTGCAGCAACACACATGGACCTAGAGATTATCCTTCTACGTGAAGGAAGTCAGAAAGAGAAAGACAAGTACCATATGATATCACTTATATGTGGAATCTAAAATATGACACAAATGAACCTAGCTATGAAACAGTAACAAACTCACAGACATAGAGAACAGAGTTGCGGTTGCCAAGGGGGAGGTGAGGCGGGGGAGGGATGGAGTGGGAGTTTGGGATTAGCAGATGCAAACTATTACATATAGGAAGGATAAACAACAAGGTCCTACTGTAGAGCACAGGGAACCATATTCAATATCCTGTGATAAACCAGAACGGAAAAGAAATGAAAAAGAGTATATATATGTAGAACTGAGTCACTTTGCTGTACAGCAGGGAACACAACATTGTAAATCAACTATCCTTCAATTAGAAAAAAAAGAGCTGGTGGGATGCAGGTCCACCTACCCAGACTTGCAGTCTGGAGAGCAGGCCCAGAGCGCCTGTGGTGATAGCTGGTTTGTGGGGGTTTGGGTTCCAGGGGCCTGGAAGAGGGGTGAATGGGGTGGGTGCCCTCAGGCTGCCGGGTTTGCATCTGTTTACTAACCAGCACCGCGGAGTGTTTCATTACTTCACTACTTTAACTATGACCCTCTCGTCAAGTGTTGACGTCAGAGGTCCCTGCCCCACCCTGGGGGTGGGGGGAGGCATGCTCCTGTGGTCCCATCCGGCGTCATCCTTGCTTGGTCCCAAACCACTCCTCCCCTAGCAGCACCTGGGAAGCCCAAGTAATGATCCAGGCTCCCTCTGCTTGGCTGGTCTCAAGCTGACCCCTAGGGGACAGCTGGGACACAGCAGGACCCTGAGGGCTGAGCCTGCAGGATGAGTACGTGCCCCAGGCAGGCCCCCTCAGCTCCCCGCAACCTGAGGAGCTATGGTCTCGCCCCTCGTGGCCTTTAGCCAAATGGAACCCAAAGCTGCCCAGAGCTGCCCAGACGGTGCAGGAGCCTGAGCAGGGAGGGATTCATTCACACCACGGGGCCCCCAGGCCTTTTCAGCCCCTCACTGTGGGAGCCCACTGGTCTGGCAGGCTGGATTTGCGCTCTGCCCCCTCAGCCCTCCCAGCACCGAGGAGCCCGTCGTGAGGAACAGAGCCCCGGCCCCCCACGCTGCCCACCGGGCGCTCACGGACAAGGCTGCCCAGCGTGTCCAGGGATCAACAGCCACCTCGCTGGGCTCCGACCACCCGAGCCACCTGTAAGGGCCAGACAGGTCGGGGGCAGAAAAGAGTTCACAAGGAGGGGCTTACACCTAAAGTCCTGAGACAGGAGATGAGGGGGGCACTGGGGTTGCTGGGATTCGACCGACCTGATCTTTCTGCTTTTCTGTAACCTCCACATGTTGTATTGTGGAGAAAACAATATTGCTTTAAAAGAAGAGCACTCTTGGGACTTCCTTGGTGGCGCAGTGGTTAAGAATCCGCCTGCCAGTGCAGGGGACACGGGTTCGAGCCCTGGTCCGGGAAGATCCCACATGCCGCAGAGCAACTAAGCCCGTGCGCCACAGCTATCAGCACCATTTCTCACACGAATCTCTAAGACACGGCACTGGGAGGAAGGGGATTCTCACATATTAGCAGCCTGTTTTCTCACTGAATTTTCACAAGACGGGTATGGCGAGCCCTGTTTTACAGGCTCTGAGGAGTTGAGAGTAACGTGCCTGGGTTTGCAGGGCTCATCAGTGGCCAAAGCGGGGTATGGACCCAGTTCTGAATGGTCCCACAGCCCACCTCGTTACCCCATTTCCTGTTCAGTCCACGAGGGCCCCGCTCCAAGACTCCCAGGACACTCTCAGTGTTCGTTCTGCATTGGGGTCCTCTGCTCTGGTCCTGGTCCCATCAGTCAGGCCCAAATGCATCTTCACCCCACATCTGCTGCCCTTTGAGGCAGGCCTGGAGCCCTCACTGCTGGCCTCTGCACCTCTTGGAGCCCAGCTCTCTTCACTCATCCCTGAGGGCACAGCACCCTGGGGTCCAACCACCTGAGACCTATCTTGGAGGCCCTGGTACCCGGCTTGGGTCTCTGCCACCTTTGAGGCTTGGCTTTCTGTAACACCATTTTGCTGGGCAGCTCTGGGCATTAGGGCCCTGTCAAGCGGAAAAAAAAAAAAAAAAGCACAACCTAAAAGTCAAGAATTATGGGTTTTTTTGGCTGCGCGATGGCATGGCATGTGGGATCTTAGTTCCAAGACCAGGGATCAAACCTGCGCTCCCTGCAGTGGAAGCACGGAGTCTTAACCACTGGACCTCCAGGGAAGTCCCAAGAATTATGTTTTATTTGGCAGACTTACTGAGGACTTACGCCCAGGCAGATAGCTCTAAGGTACTGTTCCTAAGACGTAAGGAAGGAGCCAGGATATACAGGAGTTTTGCAAAAAAAACCAGGTAGTCAAAACATCAAAAGCTTACTATTAATTTAAGAAAAACAGACATCTCAAGTTAATGAATTTAGCACTTTTCTCTGTACGGGAAGATGCAAGAGTCTGGGCTCACTGAAATCATTCCTTTATGCACCTTAGCTCTCTAGGGCCAGTACCCTGTTTTCTCCATCCTGAATCCCCTCAGGGGGCACCGTTTGAGGGTGGGGGCAGCAGCTGCAGTGGCTGATGGCTTCATGGCCACAACATCCTTTGTTACTGATATGGCAACCTACATTCTTCGTCCACAGCCCCCTGTAGGGACCCCCTCCCCCAGTCCCAGCCCTGAGCCCACCACCCAGCCGGATCCCAAGAAGTATGCCATTGGCCAAAGTGACCTCTGGGGTCCTGGGCCTCCTTCAGCTATAGAAAAGACTCATGTCTGGGGTCAGATGAGGCACCAACCAGAGGGTGGAGAAGAGGTTTTGGAGCTAAGCCTGGATGACAAACCAAGACGATCCTCTTCCAGCCCTTCTGGCGGGCTGTCTCCGCCAGAAGGGACCCTAGGGACTGTCAGTACAGGCATCGTGAACTGTATTCGTCTGTGAGATGACTCTGCAAGGGTTTGGGAAAACGATGAAAGTTTCATAATAAACAAACCATCAGGTGATGATGACAGACAGAGCCATGGGGACTGTGGTCCTTGCCCCACTTCCTGGAACAGAGCTCCTAAAACCCTTGGAACTTCCTGAGCGATAGGAGTGACTTTTATTATTCATAAGGAGTCCCTTTCAACCCCACCTGAGTTCATGCTAATGAGGTGACTCAGGTGGGATCCCCAGAGAGCCACAGGATGGGGCTGGTCACACCACAAAGACCAAACTGGTGATTTGAAGTGGGGAACTTTAAGCCCCACCCACGCCCACCTACAGGAGGTGAGAGGGCTGCAGATGGGGTCATACAAACTCTAGAGCAATGAGACCCGGAGCTTCCGGGTTGGTGACACACTGCCGTGCAGGGACGTGGTGCCCCTGGAGAGTGCCCCCGCCTCCCGGCCACATACCTTGCCCCGTGCGTCTTTCCTGAATTGTATCCCTTATAATAAAGCAATAATCATAAACAGAGTGCTTTCCTGAGTTCTGTGAGCTGTTCTAGTGAACTACGGAACCTGAGGGGGGTTGCGAGAACCCTGCATTTGTAGCTGGCCCCAGCAGAAGTGCAGGTAGCCTGGGTGCCCCATCTGTGGCTGCTCCCAAGCGGGGCTAAGGCTCTGGCCCTGGGGCCTGCACCACCACCTCTGGGCAGTTAGTGTCAGGAGTGGATTGGATTGCTGGACATCCAGCTGGTGTTGGAGAAAAGAGAAAAATTGTCTCCCTGCCTGCTGTTGACCTCGAGCCTGCCACCTTCCCTCTGGAGCTCAGCTTCTCCTTGGGACCTCAGAGCGGGGGAAGGTGCCCTGTGAGGACTCCCAGACCCTACACCCTCTGCTGTGGCTTCCCAAGGGTCTGCACTGCTCCAGTTCCAAAATCTCTTTCTTGACTTTGAAGCCAAAGGGCCCTCAGAGGGGGCTCTGGGGTCTCCCTGACACCAAAAAGGTGAAGCAAAGGCAAGAAGACGGAAGACCAAGCAGGGTAAGGCGGGCGGCTGGAGGCTCCCCATCCCTTCCGCGGTGGCCGCCCCTCTCACCTGCACGCAGTCTGGGATCTCCAGCGCGCAGGGCAGTGTCCCAGCGCTCTCCACGGCCAGCACATCCTTCAGCAGCTCCTCACAGCCTGTGGATGGACAGACAGACAGTGGAGGGTCAGAGCCTCAGCCCAGCCCGGCAGCTTTGCTTCTTTTTTTTTTTTGCAGGATCTTAGTTCCCTGACCAGGGATCGAACTTGGGCCCTTGGCAGTGAACGCACAGAGTCTTCTTAACCACTGGACTGCCAGGGAATTCCCTGGGCAGCTTTGCTTCTGATGAGTAAGCCTTGGCTGGGTAGGGCTGCAGGGAGGCAACGGCCCCGAGTCTCCAAGAGACCAGCTGATCATTCAGGGCCAGAGATGGGGCACCCAGTCCACAGAGAAGCCAGTCCAGGGCCAGGCAGAGGGAGCCGAGACAGGTCCTTGCCCTCCAGACGTTCTTCCACTGGGACTAACAGCATCAGGGAACACACAGAAGACAGACTCCCAGTTGCGGAGGGGAGGCTGGGGCAAAGAGAATCCAGGAGGCCTTCCTGGAGGAGGGGATATAAGAACATACTCCCTGCCTGGCTCACAGGGACTCCAAACACACACAGTCCAGGGCTGCGAGGCTGAGGCCCTCTGCAACCCTGCAACTCCAGAACATGGAAGGCCACCTTCAGGATGGCGCTACTTGCTGCAGACTCATTACACAGCTGGCTTCCCTCCCCTGAACAAATGCCCCCAAATCATAATGGACAAAGGAGGTGTGATATTGTGATTTATAAGAAAATAGGTATTTGGCCTTCATTCACAGTTTGTAACTCACAGCTCCCAAAACCCTCAGAATTTCCTAAGTGTTGAGAGTGACAAAGGTATCTTTTTATGTTAAGGAGGTGACTTGTGGACCCACCTAAGGATGGGGGCTGGTTGCCAAGAGAACCAACCAGGTGATTAGAGGGCTGGACCTTTCAGTCCCAACCTCTGACCTCTGACCTCCAGGGAGCAGTGAGGGCCTGGAGGTTGGATCAATCGCCAATGTCCAGTGATTTAATTGATCACGACTATGATGAAGGCGCCACAGAAACCCAAAAGGACCAGGTTCAGAGAGCTTCTGGGTTGGTGAACACATGGAGATTTGGGGAGAGTGGTGCCCTCCGAGAGAGCATGGCTGACCTGCACCTTTCCCCACACCTTGCCCCACGCACCGCTTCCATCTGCCTGTTCCTGAGTCGTATCCTTTTGCAATAAGCCAGTAATCTAGTGAGTAAAATGTTTCTCTGAGTTCTGTGAGTCACTCTAACAAATTAATCCAACCCAAGGAGGGGGTCGTGGGAACCTCTGACTTACAGCCGGTTGGTCAGAAGCATAGGTAACAGCCTGGGCTTGTGATGGGCTTCTGAAATGGGGGTGGGGAAACAGTCTTATAGGACTGAGCCCTTAACCTGTGGAATCTGACGCTACCTCCAGGTAGACGGTGTCAGAATTGAGCTGAATTCTCCTCGGACACCCTGCTGGTGTGAGAAAATTGTTTGTTGGCATGGAAGGAACCCCTCACCTCCACACATTGGAACTGGTCTCAGAACAGCAAACAGGAGGTCAGACCTGCAGAGCGCCAGCACAGGGACATGCCGGGCACAGTTAGTGGCGGCCCTACTGAGTCAAGCAACCCCATTCAGAAACCTTTCCTGGGGCTGCCGTGCACAGTCCCCCCAACCTCTCTGCTCACTTCCTTTCGCCCCTCACTTCTATGCAAGGAATTTCTGCTTCCTTCCCACCCTCCCAGACTCTGAGGGAGCCCACAGGGAAGGCTCCGTGCTGCCCTGAGCCACACAGACAGGGAAACATGGCATCCTCCACAGATAACAGCAAGGCCCGGGGACTTCCAGACGTAAACTGTGTTCTCCTCACAGGCTGGTGAGCTGGACCACTCTCTCCAGATGAACACTTCAGTAGCGAGTGGCCACACTCTGATTCCTGCAGGCGTCTCATAACTGCCTTTGAGTGGGGGGAAAACGAGAGGGATTTTTATATTCCCCCCTAAAGGGAAGACAGGAAGGAATTTGGAGGAGTTAGAAAGAGGGAGTGGGGAGGAAACAAATGAAGGAAATTCAGAACAGAGGCAGGGAGGTGAGGGGACCAGCTCTGAACTGTCCTCGTTCAAAACTGAAGCCTGTGTTTTGGGAAACTCCTC